TTTAACAAATATTATTGAATAATTTTTTCTAACAAGATAATAATCTCAGTCAGGATAAGAATCACTTTTTTGCCTAAGGTCCATCAGTTTATAAGAAAAACTTTTTTCTTATAAACTGTATGTAAAAAAGTATGTAAGAAAAGTTTTAAGCCAAACATAGACTATTCCACATACCTACTTTTCAAAATAAGAACAGGAAATCTCTAACCTTGTTCATTAAATACACAGCTTTATTTCTATATCATAGTCATATGAGAGGGTAAAAATAGATAAAATGTAAAAAGAAAGAGACAAGAAATGAGATAAAATTAAGTGTAAAAAGAATACAAAAAGACAAATAGAAAGATGAAAAGCAGTACCCAAATACCTCACCTTCCCTTCCAAGACAGTTATAGAACAATGGGAAAACAAAAGATACATAAACTTTCCATTTTATGACCTTTTATAGAGCCTTAAAATGCAGATCAAGTTCAGGCCAAACTAGAGTTTCTCCAGCAGAATTCTCTTCTAAGTGATTTATTTTACCCTATCATATTTTCTTAATGTTTTTGAAAATACTTACATGTAATCTTTTGGCTCAATTTTGAAATGTTAATATGTTTGCTAATTTTAGGGCTCCATATGGGCAGAATCTCTAGTTAATGAAGACATTATTTGGATAGAAAAGTGAATGATTTTTATTTTTAAGTTGTATACTTGTTATTCACATTTGTATTTTTTGTGTAGATCATATGCCTGTGACTCAGAATGAACAGGAAAACAAATCAAATACATCTCTCTCTACATCATATGAAAACTTTCCAGAAGACTGTACATTTCTGTATGTATATAAATTACTTACGTTGTTTATGCTTTTACTCCTAGAAAGAGATTTACACTTTCTAAATCATTTGACATTAGACTAGATAAAGATTTTTCCCCATTAAAGCTTTAAAAGTTGTAAATTTTAGTATTTCATGTAGGATGAAGTTTCCTGAGTTGCTTAATAGGTTATTTACTTGTTAATATCCCTAGGTAATCAAGTCTTCTTATGAAATTTAGTGTAAGATGTCTTCGCATGTTTTATTAATACACCGAAATCTATCAAGTTGCTTTCTTTTATTCCCTGAATTATTTGGAGTAATAAAAAGGGTCAAAGTGTTTCTTTCCGTATCAGTTCAGTTTTTAGAATGCATGATAGCTCTAAAGTAGTACCAAAAAATTTTGAGGAGTAGACTAAATTTTTTTGAACTTCCCTTTCTCCTTTTACCATTACTTCCACTAAAAATTCTTCAGCATCAAGGAGAATTGTACAAGACAGAATCTGACACTCTTTCACCTGATCTTTATTTCTATTAATAGGTAATACCTACACCAAAATCTTCAAGTATTAATTAAAGGAAATTTTCTGAAAGTATTTTGTGCTGGAGCAGAAAACATAGTTTCAAAAAACAAAAAAAGTGGCTGGGCCAGGTGGCTCACGCCTATAATCCTAGCACTCTGGGAGGCTGGGAGGATCACTTGAGCTCAAGAGTTCGAGACCAGCCTGAGCAAGACAAAAACTAGAAAAATTAGCTGGGCTTGGTGGTGTGCGTCTATAGTCTCAGCTAGTTGGGAGGCTGAGGCAGGAGGATCACTTGAGCCCAGGAATTTGAGGTTGCAGTGAGCTACCTCTGCACTCTAGCCAGGGGTGACAGAGTGAGACTCTGTCTCCCAAAAAAAAAATTTAAAAAGTGTCTTTAGAAAATTCTTAAATAGGTGCCCCAATTTCATCTGTCTTTTCAGCTAAATATTAAATTAACAAAAAAGATTCAGTATAGAATTCTTTGTCATTTTAGTGTCTGTGAGAGTTATAGATAGACACTATTTCATATTATTTGTATTTACAAATACTAGAGATGTCATTACAATTTGAGTGAGTCTAAAAGACCCATAAAATTTATTTTTACATGTTCTCAGAGAAAGCTAAGTTTATACTTTTTATGACTCCTTAACTGGCGATTTCAATTAAGCTCACAAAATAAATTTTTTCTTGACATTCTGACCTTTTAATATATAGGCTAAAATTTCATTAGTTTTTAAAAGCACATTCAATCACTCTATCACTAAAATATAAGGATCTTTCTCATATAAATCACCACCGAACAAGCTCTTTCACCAAATAATTGTTTATATATTTAGACAATTGTATTTTAAATCTAAGTGCAGGAAGAGTTGGCTTACTCCTGTTAAGTATCACTTTTTAGTTTAAGTTTGTTATGCCAACTTATCAGAATCTTTTTGAATTTTGGAACTCTTATCTAATATTTTCTGTACTTTCTAACTTGTACAAATAAAAAAGCTTTCTAGTGTTTATTATGGTCACTGAAAACAATAATGAATAGGACATAACCAATGACAAAACCTTGTAGCTACCAGAGACCTTGTTTTATTGCCCTTCAGAAAGAACTGTTCAACCAACTGTGAATTTACTTACCTCTACTAGTGTCCCACCTACGTTTCTCTCTCATAAGGCTGTCATGGGAAGTCAAGGTTTACTGCTAGAGCATTCTATAGCATTACCAAATTTTACCAAAATTTATTGAAAACTTTATTGTAAAGGAAAATTCCCTCAAGTTGTTGATTCAGTACCTAGTGTTAGCTTTTTAAAATCCTAAGTACTTAGAATTCACACACTTGATACCCTCTTCTAGAAATTTTTAAGAGATCAACGTTAAGCTTGTCATTCTATATTTTTGGAAT